ACATAAAACTTATATAATAAGAATAAGATATAAATAAATATAAAATATTAGTAAATATATATTACATATATATTTATATTTATAAATATATGTGGCGGGGAGCGAGGAAAGGAAGAGGGGGGAAAAGAGGGAAGGACGAAAAGACAGATTTATTTAAGGAATTGGCTCATGTGATTGTGAGAGCTAGAAAACCTGAAAGGCAGACCAGCAGGCTGGTAACTCAGGTAGGATTTCTATGTTGCAGTCTTGAATAGGAATTCTTTAAGAAACCTGTCCCAGTTCTTAAGACCTTTCACTGATTGGATGGGGCCCACTAACATTATAGAAAATAATCTGCTTTACTCAAAGTCAAATAACTATGTATGCTAATCATATCCACAAAGACCTTCACAGCAGCATCTAGACTAGTGTTTGACTAAACCATTGGGCATCATAGTCTAACCAAGCTGACACATAAAATTAACCATCACAACCACTGGTAAACTAAACTAGAAGTTGTTACTGATCTCTAGGGCCCCCTGTGACTCTGTTATTCTACAGCTCTGTTTCTTTTGTGATTCTTTCTCATGTGTATAGCTTCTGGAAATAGCAAGAGGAGGAATGAAAATATTTCCTTTTTTTTTTTTTAATCTATCCAGACAACTCAAGGTGCGGAATAGCATTTTCATCTCTACAACAGAGATGAGAAAATACTAGTAGTTTTTAATTGTGGTGTCAATAATAGCTAACCTTAAAAAATGGTTTTAAGCCTAAGTGAAAAGAGTAAAATAACTTGTTGCAATGGTTTCATGCTACTAATAAAACGTATTCATGTAATCTTTAGCTCTCCATTAAAACCGTACTATGCCCACTTTATACACATTACTGATTATTTGGAACATTTCCTTACTTCATATCCTCTTCCACTCTTAAACATACATGGCTCTCTTCCTAGAAATAAATCCATGCTTATATGGTCAATTAATCTATGACAAAGGAGGCTAGAATATAACTAGGGAAAAGACAGTCTCTTCAATAAATGGTGTTGGGAAAACTGGACAGCTACATGCAAAAGAATGAACTGGACCACTTTCTTACACCATACACAAAAATAAACTCAAAATGGATTAAACACCTAAATGTAAGACCTGAAACCATAAAAATCCTAGAAGAAAACATAGGCAGTAATTTCTTTGACATCGGCCTTAACAACATTATTGTAGATATGTCTCCTCAAGCAAGGGAAACAAAAGCAAAAATAAACTGACTGGAACCATGCTAAAATAAAAAGCTTTTGCACGGCAAAGGAAACTATCAATAAAACAAAAAGGTAACCCACTAAATGGGAGAAGATATTTGCTGATGATATACCTGATAAGGGGTTAATATCCAAAATACATAAAGAATTTATACAACTCAGCACCATAAAAAAAATAAGCCTCCTTTAGCATGCCTACCTTTTAGCATCTCACTGAGTGCCAAAAGACTTAGAACTTAGTAGAATTTGAGGGGCCATTACTAGCAAAATGTTTGATTTCTCATGGCATGGGAGTTGCTAGAGGTGGAGGGTGGCCTGGGAAGGAAGGAAGAGACTCTTATAGGTTCATGTGCAGAATCAAAAAAAAAAAAAATCCCGAAACTATTTTACTCATTCTTGCTAAAAAAAATTATGACTATAATTATATCAGTGCTCATAGCAGAATTATTCACAATTGCCAAAAGGCATTGACAGATGAATGCCCATTGACGGATGAATGCATAAACAAAATGTGGTATAATTGTATGATGGAATATTATTCAGCTTTAAAAAGGAAAGAAATTCTGACCTCTGCTACATCATGGATAAACTGAAGACATTATGCTAACTGAAATAAGCCAGACACAAAAGGATAACTATTATGTGATTCCACTGATACCAGCTACTTAACATAGTAAAATACATAGAGACAGAAAGCAGAACAGTGGTGTCAGG